TATATATATATATATATATATATATCTAACCGTATCCAAAATAATTCGCAAAATACCGGCGAATGATACCAAGATTGTTGCTCTCTTTCATTGTGATCTGATAAGGGCCTGGTACGTATAGTATATTATATGTCGCGACTATAGTGCCACATTATTAAAATATTAGAATATTATATATATCAAGTACATAATGTTAAACTAGAATTCAGGAGGATGTCATGCTTCAATACGCGAAAAATCCAATATACGTGATGTAAGAAATAGAAGATTCTCTAATTATTCCACGCAATTATTGCAAGGTAACTTGTGTAAAAATAAAATAACTTTTCGTTTCACGATAACGTTGCTGAAATACATACGACATTCGATCGGTTTTCCGGCTGCCACATCGCATATATACATATAGAAGTCGGTAAGTTTCACAGTCGATGGGCATGTCAAGTTGATCGTTTAAAAATCGTAAAATCGTTTCTCGGCGTAATTTAGTAAGGCTGACGCTTGCGGTAGATTTCTTTAATATATATATTTTTTAATTAATGCATCGTAATCGTAACACAAGCGAACGAACTAGCATGTTTAACGAGCAAGCTTTATATTTTTTAACTGCACAATGTATTATGTTTATCGCTATGTCCGTATCGTAAATAAGAAACTCGAGAAGGGGAGAAAACGAAAAAACCAGCGATAACAGGAATTTAATGAGGCACTTGTTTGCTTGTTACAATTGAAAAGATTTATTATAAGGTTTAAAGCGATCCTGTTTTAAACCAAAGGAAAAAAATAAAATAATGGTTTTTTCACAGGTATTGAGCATGAAAATTAGGTTATATCGAAATTTTATACCCTCTTTTCAAGAATTATGAAGGAGACAACAAACGAATTTGTCGATAAATCTAATTTATCATTTATAATAGAGCGTTTACCGTCTCGTCAAAATCGCGAGATATATATATATATATATTTTTTTTTTTTCGTTGCAGACGGACCATGACCCTCGGAATCCGGCTTACATAGCCACACAAGGGCCGTTACCACAGACCACGGCTGATTTCTGGCAATTAGTCTGGGAACAAGGCAGCGTGGTGATTGTGATGTTAACACGACTTACGGAGGAAGGCCGCGCCATGTGCCATCGTTACTGGCCCGAGGAAGGATCCGAGCTCTATCATATCTACGAGGTACATCTGGTGTCGGAGCATTTTTGGTGTGATGATTATCTAGTGCGTTCCTTCTATCTGAAAAATCTGCGCACTTGTGAAACTCGTACTGTTACGCAATTCCACTTCCTCTCTTGGCCGGAGAACAGCGTCCCGTATTCTACAAAGGCTCTGCTCGAATTCCGCAGGTTTGTACCAGTTTATTCATTGATATTGTATAAAATCGTATCTCTCTCTCTCTCTCTCTCTCTCTCTCATTATTATTATTATTACATAATTTATTATATTGTGTAGTATTTTCTCCATATTGTAACGTATAATTCGTTATATTTATATATTATTTAAAAGATTATTATATCAAGAATCCAAAAAAAGAAAATAACATGTACTATATTTTACATTAAATAATGTCTAAAAATTATTTTGATCTTTTCTCTTTCTAGGAAAGTTAATAAATCGTATCGTGGAAGGTCATGTCCGATAGTCGTGCATTGCAGGTAAGTATATATTTTTATATTATTTAAAATAATCAATGTGACAATTGGTATATTTTCTCACATTTAATCATTTTACAGTGATGGAGCTGGGCGAACCGGTACTTACTGTTTGATCGACATGGTCCTAAATCGTATGACGAAGGGAGCGAAAGAAATCGATATTGCTGCTACTCTCGAGCATATTAGAGATCAAAGACCCGACATGGTTGCTACGAAACAACAGTTCGAATTCGTCCTGATGGCAGTGGCGGAAGAGGTACATGCGATTCTCAAGGCTTTACCCGTATCATCAAATGAGAAGTCCGTTACAGCTACCGGTTCTTCATAAAATCGGAGCAGTGAAACTAAAGCTGCGACGCAAATTTAATCCTAAACAGTATAAAAGAAACCTAACGACTTTTAATTCTAATAGATTTAAAAAATAAGAATGTTATTTTTTTTATGTTTATTCACAAATTTTATGAAAAATTGGAAAGATTTAATTTTTTTAAATGTGATTTTTGAAGTTCTGATCTTGTTAGTATTATTGTTGCGATGTGAGAAATCTGAGTATATATATATATATACTCAGATTTGAAATTATTTATCGGCTATTTTATACTCTTCAGGATTAAAATAATCGAAATACGAGCGAGGATAAAAGATATCTATTCTGTTAATTTCGATGTATCATGAAAAAGCTAAATACTTTTACTAGCTGTTTACTACGATGTACCCTACTGGAAAAGAGTGAATCAATCGATTTTTTGTTAGAATTTTCTACACGCTCGGTATTTCCCGATTGACGCACTTTCACTGTTTTAGAGTGCACCAAACGTCGCGAGCTTCTTTTGTATTTCGATTGTATTTCCTCAAAATGCGAAAAGAATGATGATTGATTTAAACTTGTATAACGAGAAATATGTAACTGTATAATCGGAGCGTATTAATTTTCAAATACAGCCTTAATTTAAGAACAATATGTAAAGAGAGGAAAAGTAAGCGATATTTGTATATGTTAAGACAGCTTGAAGTATAAACGTGGTCAATCTTAATTCTTTTTACTGCTATACTCTGTAAGATGGTATTGTTTTATTTTTTTATTATATCGACTAATCTAATAACGTCCTTTGTCGCTCATTCAAACGCGGCCTATTTCAAGGGTCAAGTATGGACAACAAACAGACAGATGGACCCGGTTAGGTGTTACTCGAGATATATGCAATGTCAACAACTGAACGATTATTACTGTACGATCGATCGGTGAAAAAAACGGAACATTTTATACTAATAGATTCGAGACTAACTAGCACCTCGATTTTTTATCGTTAAACACTTACGTTTGAGATTGGAGTTTTATTTAATTGATATAAAAATTATATTTGGTATAAATCATGGACTCTGACGATCAGACTGACTTGGCTGCATTTAGCATTAAATATGCGATGTGAGTGATGAGCCGGAATGTTTATTGTTTGTGGACAAAATATATTGTTTTTCGTAGAGTCTATGGAATATTTATATATAAAATCATCTCTATCGAATTTTAATACTTTAATTATTAAAGAAATGTATCACTGGCTTAATCTAATCATAATTATTAAATTTATTTAGAAAACATATTTATGGAAGATAGGACAGTCTGTTATATTGTAAAACGTTCGCAAAAAAAGTCAAGATTTTCTTGCGTATACATAATTTGTGTACACTGATTGAATTACATTAAATTCAAATCTTAAAAAAAAAAATTAGTCGGACGCAGTTAGTAGTGCGTGAATTCTTCGATTTAAAAGTATCTGTAGTTAAAATATTACATAAAATTAATACAAACTAAGCATAATTAATACGAACATTTCATTTTCACTTTGAGCCATTCTTGGTGCAGATATATTATTGTAAAATAGTTATCTCACGTTCTCCATAAAATCAGAGTGAGTCTTCTTCCACTTCCAAAATTGTCATTTTGTAGAAGTTGGAATAGATTCAAAAACATAAAAATGGACATGTATTGAAAATAAAAATTATAAAATTGCACATTGTGTGTACGTCGTTATTATAAAATCGTTAACATAAACTTAATAAAAAAGTCAATTATAATCTTGAGAAATCGAATATTAAAATAGGCTGACTGACTAGTTACAGAGTTAAGAACATTTTTTATATCTTTTTTTTTTGTTAAACTCTGCAAATAGAGTGCAGAATTTGTTTTATCTCAAGACCATAACTGACGTATTTATTAACTTTATATTGAGGATTTTTATAATAACGACGTAATTTTATAAGTTTTATCTACTATGTAATATGTGTGATATCTATTCTTACGTTCTTGGATCTATGCTAATTTCTATAAGATATGGCAATTTTGGAATTAACAAGAGTAGGCTTATTGTAACTTTATTGAGAACGTGAGATAATAATTTTATAATATTGTTTCTGCGCTAATGAGATTATCAAAGTAGAGCCGAAACGTTTGTATTAATTATATGTTTTATGCAATATTTTTTAACTAAAGACACTTTTGAATTGAAGAATTTACAATTTATATTAACTACGTCCAACTCGTATTTTTGTATTAAAGATTCGAATTTGATTTTATATATAAAAATCTTAAATTTATATTTCTTTTAATTACATTAATGGATAAATTTTTCGATCTCGATTTTAATAAATAATCAGCGTAAACCAATCAGCTAAGTCAATTGCGTGATACCAAAATACGTATATGACAAAATGTAAGCATACATTTACATTAGTAAAGTCATATACAATTTCGAAACAGCCATTTCTTATAACTTTGTTATAGATCGGAAGAGCACACGT